GATTCCTCCAGCATTGCTCATTTTGCTGAGGATTGCCTTGGTTCTTTGAGATCTTTCATGCTTCCATGTGAATTTTAGCATTGTATTTTCTGGTTCTCTGAAGAATGCCATTGGTATTTTGATGGGGATTTTAGTTATATTTTTGAGAGTTTGGGACATGTAGTCAGTAGTAAAATCTTACTAAGTCTCTAGTCCCTCTTGTTGCTTGAGAATAATAGTAATTGCCTGCACAGACATTGGGTTTATAGTTCTAAATCTGAGCAGTCGATTATTAAAGTATCAAAAAAAAATCATAGCAAAGCACAATAAAAACCATTAATCAAGTCACTGGAAGTTGGTGTTGGTAAAAAACACATAAATCAAAAGAAAATCTCTAGAGGTTGAAGACCAGACACAGTAGGGAAAGCTGGTATTGATGGTGGCAAATAATGTCTCTGCCTGCTGAGGAGGAATGACTTTTCAGGAATTCTTTCATCAAAAATCTAGCTGTCTTTATCTGTGTTAAAATGCCATGGTATTTCATTGCCCAGCAAGCAGAAGACAGGGAGAAGTTGGTAGAATATTATTAAATGTACTTAAACATGTGACAGCATATTACTTAGCTTCCAATTACTAGCAGACTTCAGAGGGCAGGAAGGTTGCCAGCTCATTCATCTGATCATTACTTATCTTGACCAAAAGCCCATGAGAATATGTACTGAAAGAATAAAGCTCTCATTATCATTTAATGTTTTTCTTTAAAACCTCATTTTAATACTATGAAATCAGATTTCAGAGAATGTCATAATTAAGATTTTCATTTAAAAAACCATTTAATACCATTTAAATATATAATGACTCCCAGTGCTACCTGAATTCATTCACATCATAAACCAGCTAAAATGGGCTTTAATCTTTACCATGACCATGCTTCCTTTACTTAACCTTAATATACAATGCTATCAAGACCCATTTATTAGCCACACAAAAGTAATTATCATTGCTTTATTATAACCTCACCTTATTAACCAGAAATGTTAATCTGGGCTCTGAATAATTGGCAACTATTTTTAAAAATTTATCCTGGAAATATGAGTATTTGCTAACTTAAGAATGTTTTAAAGACTGTGGTAGAGACTCCAGTGTCCATTCTACAAAAAAAGATGGGTTCCAGAAAATTCTAAGCATGGAAGCATTTTTTGAATAACTATATAGTCTTCTAGGGTAATTACTCAGATAGATTGTTACATATTCACTTTTAAGACATGTCAGAGTACTTAGTAATTACATGCTACATGGAGTATTGACTAGAGTAACTCATTAGCAAATCAAGAATGAAAATTTTGTTTTGATAGAAAAATTAGTTCTGTTGGGAAGGAGAATGACTTGGCACAAACCTTTGTGGTTTGTATGCAACTACTTTCAGGAATCCTCCCAAGGGACCTGCCCTTTCTGAGGCCCTTAGGATTGGCTTTGAGATCCTTTTTGGTAAATAAGAGAAATAGAAATTATAGTCATTGAGTTCAAACCATGTATCAGAATTTTCCTAAAGAATATCTTTTTCCTTACACCAACCCTGGAAAAGGATGTATTATCCTCATTTTTCAGATGAGGAAACTGAGTTTCAGAGGGTTAGGGTGGTTGTCAAACACCTAACCTAGGTGGTAGGAAGCTTAGATTTTTTAAAAAATTAATTTAACATTTTTTTAACCTAGGTGGTAGGAAGCTTAGATTTTTTAAAAAATTAATTTAACATTTTTTTGTGGTGCCGGGGCTCAAACCCAAGCCTCAAGGGTGCTATGTAAGTATTCTGCTGCTGAGCTGTATCCGCAGGCCAGAAACTTAGATTTTAAATCACATCTGATTCCAGAGAATTGTAACTCCTCACTCTAACCAGCCTTCTTAGTCAACTTGGCCATAATTAGTGCCACATCCCTTTCTCACCATATAATGCTGTAGTAGGTAGAATAATGTACTCCCCTGGGGCCAGGGTTGTGGCTCAGGGGTAGAGTGCTCACCTAGCACATTGGTGGCCCTGGGTTCTATCCTCAGCACCACATAAAAATAAATAAAATAAAGGTATTGTGTCCCACTACAACTAAAAAATAAATATTTTTTAAAAAAATAATGTACTCTCTGCAGGAATGTCTGTATCCCAATCCTTGGAACCTATTACTATGTTACATTGGAGATAGGGGTTAAGGTTGTAGATAGAATTAGGTTTCTAACCAGCTGAGCTTAACATAAAGAGGGTCCTTTAAGTGAGTAATGTATTGTGAGAGAATTGACTGACCCATGCTACCGTTAGAGATGGAAGGGGGCCACAAAACCAGATTCTCTCCTAGAGCCTCCAGGAAAGAACACAGGCCTGCCAATACTTTGAGATCTATTTGGGACTTCTACAGAACTGTAAAACTAATTTGTGGTGTTTTAAAAGTCACTAAGATGTGTAATCTATTACAGTATAAATAGGAAACTAATACAAAAGCCCAACCTCACTTCTGCTGGGGAAGCTGTCAGGCCTGTCCCTGATACCACAGCTTGTGGTATCAACATAAACCCAAGTGTTAACAAAACGCGCAGACCAAGATCCAGAGCTCCCAGTACAGCCAAAGATTAAGAGAGGCCTTGAAGGAAGTGTAACTATTTAGTCACAGATGCATATGGACCCATGGACTGGGCTTCAGACCCTAATCTGTTGCTTACTACCTGTGTGATCTTCTGCATTCCACTTTATCTTTTGGAAGTTTGGGGTGTCATTTGTAAAACATGAACAATTCTTTCTGCTCTGCCTGTAAGGTAGTGTGAGGACAAAAGGAGTAGATTATTGAGAGTGAGCTGATGATTGCTACATATAGGTTCAGTTCTTGGTAGTGAATCTGATGGAATTAGTACTTAAAACTGTTATTACTTTTAATTATAATTTTTAGCAAAAGAATTTGTGTGTGACTTTCAGTGTTTTCCACTAAATCTGCAGTTAACAAGAAAATCCATTTAAATCAATTAACTGATTCACTAAAATGTCCATTAATGCTTTAATGTATTTCCTGTAATCATAGCTTATTAGAGCCAAAGAGGACCTTAATAATCACCTCATCCATTTTCCAGGCAAAGAAGCACATTCAGGTTGTTGAAAGGGTAAGAAGGTTAGACCTTTTGACATAGAATTCCTTGGCTAGACACAGTGTCACAATTTGTGATCCCAGCAACTCTGGAGGCTGAGGCAGGAGGATCACAAATTCAAAGCCAGCCTGGGCAACTTAATAAGACTCTGCCTCAAAAAAAAAAAAAAAAAAAAAAAAATGGTTAGGGTGTAGCTCAATGGTAGGACCCTCCTGGGTTTAATCCCCTGTACTGTAACAAACAAGAGACGGGGGGCCAGACCTCTTTAATGAGTCCAACGCAGTCCAGAATTTTTTTAAATGCAGTGTTTATGATTCTCTTTTGAGATTTTGAGAATACAGTTATTTGAAGCAGAAACATCCTAACCCAAATCAAACCCTTCTGTAACCTCCATAGAGAACAGTTTAGTTTCTTAAAGGTCCCTAGTCATTTCAAGTTTAATTGTCATTATCATCCTGCTTTCCCTCACTCCCTCCTCCCTGCCGGAGTTAAACCTAAAGAATCAGCAGGCACCTTACAACACTAGGAATTGAGTTCAGGACACAGTATGTATGCCAGTTCCAGCCACCCACCTTGCCACTCTATATTCCCCTCTTAAAAGTACAGGGTGAGCTGGGCGCAATGGTACACACCTGTAATCCCAGAGGCTAAGAGGCAGGGGGATTATGAATTCAAAGCCAGTCTCAGCAATTTATCGAGTCCCTAAGCATCTTAGCAAGACCCTGCCTAATAATATATATACACAAACATATACATATATATGTATATATATGGTCTGGGGATGTGGCTCAGTGGTTAAATGCCCCTAGCTTCAATTCCTGGTACCAAAAAATGTACACAATGGTGCCATCAGCAGGGCCAGTCATGTAAACCAGGGGAACCCTGTTGATACACATGAAGGGTATCATCGTCACCAGTTATCAGTGACAGCTCTTTTTGAGCACCTGCCACAGCTAGAGAGGTAGATATAATCCTCAGAACCTACCTCTGCATTCTCAAATCCCACTCTTTAGCTGCTAGCTGGGTGCCAGCTCAGTTGCTTGGTTCTGCACTACATGCTTTTGTAGATGAGCCAAGGAGGAGTCCTTAAAGCTAAAGAGCCTCAATATCTATAGAGGAAACTGGAGTCATCAGGTGACCTGCCACCACTACTATAGTCTAAGCGTAGACAGATTACTCTCTGGGATCCTGATCTGTCAAATGATGGACTGATAGGGCCACAGTTTTCTCTAGTAACGGGGATTATATCCAACACTATCGTGGTGGAAGTTTTGTTTAACTACAGATGTCGAGGGAGAGGATTTGTTATTTGGAAAATGTAAACAATTTTTTTTACTATAAAAGTAATTCATGCTTGATACTAAAAGTTACAGCAGTGCAGAAGCATGTAGAGCAGAGTAAAATCAGGCCCCTTATGTCCCACAGCCAGCACCAGGCCATGTTCAGGCTGCTTGTTCTCTCTCGTCCCCTGAACATGCCATTCAGCCTCCCATTAGCATTTTCCTGAGGGAATGTTTAAGAGTCTAAGAGTAAATCTGATCTTCATTTTAATGGTTCTGAAATTGGTGAAATTGAAAAGTTACATGAGTTTTTTTTTTTTTTGCTTTTAGATGAGCTCTTACAGCCCAACTTATAAATCCATGTGAAGAAGTTAAAAATTGCAATAAGTAAGAGAAATAACTTGTACTGTTAAATTAGAGTAATACCAAATTTTGAAAAGACAAAAGAAATGACAGGACATAAAAGGATTGTTTTTTTTTTTTTTTTTTACTGTTATTCATAGGTTGTGACATTATATTAATTATATAATGAGAAAAACAGTTTTACAAAAAATATTCCTGAAAAAATATCTGTAAGAATAGTTCATTGGATTCAAACCAAACAAACAGCCTAATAACTGGAACTTTTAAAATCTTTATTGACTATAGAGCTTCAGAAAATGATTGCTACTTCCTTTTAGGCTTTTTTTTTTTTCTTTTCTGTTAGGACTTATACTCAGAGAATAAAAGACAAGAAGAATCATATTACCGATTACAGGAAAACTAACTTGTAAAAGTCTTAAACCAAGTGGATTCCATACCTCAAATATTTATTGAGCATCTATTATTTGCAAGGCACTGTAAGAGTAGAAGAATTGAGAACAACTTATCCCAAGGGCTCAGGGTCTGACAGGGTTGGTAAGACAAGAACCCACACAGCCATGTGCTAAATGAAGAGTTGTGACACAAAATGCTTAGCAGAATCCAAGAAGGTAAGAAAATGCCTCTCAATAAGGAGAGATCAAAGCAAGTTTTGTGGAAAAGGGGGATAATTTTTATTTTTTGAGGTGCTGGGGATTGAAACCAGGACCTTGTACATGCCTGGCAAGGGCAGTACCACGAAACTATACCCCCATTTTTGGGTAGGATTTTTCATTCTCAGATTGAAGGGGTTTAAGTGGAGGGAAAGCGGATTGAGGCACAGAGGTGTCAAGATCAGGGCATGTCAGGAAGAGAGTTCAGTTTGGTTGGAGCATATAGTACATGTAGGGGAGGGGATAGATAAGACTGGCACAGGGTGGGGGAGGAGGAAGAGAATGTAAGGCCACAAAGTTTGCTATAATAAGCAAGTGATGTGTGATCTCAATTTTTTAGCAGGAAAATCGATGTAATCAACATTAACCTCGGGCAGACAATTTTTTGGCCATGGTGTTAGGTAGTGGGTGGTTATGAGAAAACAAGGATGGTAAGATGAATCCCAGATGAATGACAAATGAGTTCTGAGCCATGACGACAGAAGGCAGGCAGGAGCAATATTTTACAGAAATAGACTTAGTAGAGCAAGTGCCTAGGAGTCAATGAGACTGAAGTTCAAATCCTGTTCTGCTTTATAACAGTTATATGATTATGAAGACATTAAGTCATCTGAGCCTGTCTCATCTACAAAATGGATGTATGCATGGAGTTGCTGTGCTGCAGAATAATTCTTGTAAGGTATTTAGCCCAGCTGTGAAACCTGGTAAATGCTCAGTAAATGTTAATGTCACTAATTCCAGTTACTCAGTAACTAAAAATGGAGTTAGGAAGGAAATAGGCGTCCATCCCAGTGACTAAGAGGGATGTGGAGCTCTCTGGAAGGAGAATTGCATCCTGAAGGACTTACTGCATTTGGATCCCATCCCTACTCACTAGCTGTGATCTTGCACAAGCTACTTAACCCCTTTATCTCCCTTTTCTTATTTGTAAAATATAGTGTCAATGTCTCCCCCATGGAGCTGCTGTAAGAATACAGTGAGATAATACATGTAGAATGTGTATTATGTGCCTGGTATACTTTAAGTGCCAAGAAAATATTTGCTTTTTGTGAAAGACAGGATGCAGTTGAATAGTTTCCGCCTTCCATTTGTGATGGGAAGATATGCAAATAGGGGCAAGTGACATATAATGGGACTGGGCATGAAGGGTTAGACCCAGTTGAGCCTGGAGATAGGAGTTGCTGGGACAGTTAATTGTATCTCTATGAGATGAGCAAGGAGTATAGAATAGAAATTGTCCTGGAAAATAATCAGCCAAATCCAGAATATAGGTATAAGCTTCAAAAAGTGTGTCATGGGGGAAGAATCATCAGGAGGCTGTTCTAAACTATGAGATGTAAGTTATAACTAGTAGTAATGCATGGACTTCGGACCTTGTTCTTTAAAAAAAAAAAAGTGATTCTTCATACAATTGGGGCATCTTGTTTCAGGACTTGTATTAGAGGCTATACAAAAGTTACTGTAATCGTGGCTTCATTCTTGGGCAATACATACTGAAATCCTTTTGGGTGGAACATTGTTTACACATGCATAGGGCACAGAGAAGAAAATGTCAATAAGGCAAAATATTAACAATTGTTCAATGTAGGTAGGCGGTACATATATATGGGGTATTGATTTTACTAACTTTGCCCTGATGGAGATTTTCAATATTAATGAGCACAAAGGAGGCCTGAAGAAAAACTATTTGGGAACCAGCTCAACCAGGAAAAGCAATTCTTTGGAGGAAAAGCAGGTTCCACCTACCAAAGAAGGGATTATAAAAGGGAGAGATGAATCAAAATAAGACTGAATACAAATCATATTGTAGTGGCTTGGAAAGAGTGGAATGTTGCATGGAAAGCTGACCGGCAGTGAAGAAGTAATAAATGGGGAGGAAGTAGAAGCAGCAAGGATTACTTGACCCTGCTGGGCTGAATTTTTTCAGTACAGAAAAACTGAACATAGCTGAGGAAGATACTCAGGAAAGGGAATAATGCTAGGAGAGCAAACACCTGTGTGGAAAAGAAAGGGTGTGAAAATATGGCAGGAAGATGTAGCCTTAGATGGAAGGATGCTTTCTGTTTTGGCCCAGAAGTGAGGTCCATGAAGATGTGGGGAAGGAACTGCTCTTCCTAGTGACAAGATGTCTTGCTATTATGGTGGCAGGAAGGGGGAAAGTACTATACCTGCCACTGGATTTGAATACAGCAAGGTGAAACAGGTTGCACCTGGCACTGGTTGAACAAGTGGAGGCAGGGGAATAAAACTGGGCAGTCAGCCCTGATAAGTTCTAGAGATAATAAATATAGAAAACTCTAAAGAGCATTCCCCCCCCCCACACACACACAACTTGCTACTGGGCAAACATTATGCATTTGATGAGTAAAACTGTCCTGTGCGTAAAAACCTTTATCCTCATTTCCGTGCCCTCTCCTTGGGCTGGTATGTTATGTAGGCACATAGTATAATAAGTCCTTAGTGTGTAAAGAAGCTTCTGTCCTTTTAGTCACCAGTCCTAAGTGGCCCTGCACTGGAGTGACTAGGGCTGTTTTCCTCTGCTATGCAACTCCATTCCTGTGCCCGACAATGCCTGACAGCACAGGAAGCCAAAGGGGCTCTTTCCCAGGTACCTGGAGAATAAATGGTTTTGGTTCTACTCTGGTATCAGAATCGCGTGGAAGGCCCACATTTGGTGGCAGCGACACTTCATTCTGTGTCCAGGAGATGTAGAGAGCACTGGTCCAAGTCCCACTTGCAGGAGCGCTGCCACGCGCTGGTGGAAGTAACCAAGGTCCTCTACAGCAGGACCTTCGTGACAACGCACCCATCATCCCTTCCCTCCTCGGCCTCCTCTTTGAAAGGCAGGGGCGACGCAACGGCCCAGTGCTGGGAGCCCTCGCGATGCCTCACCTCCGCCAGCTCGCCCAGCCGCGCCTCCAGAGCTGCTCGCTCAGCCTGCAACTCAAGGCGCGCTCGGACCGCAGCGCGTTCCTGCTCCTGAAGCTCCCTGCGCCTGCACTCCAGGGCGCGCTCACCCAGCTCCACTGCCGCCTCACGCCGCTCTAGTTCCTGCTCGCGTCTGCTGCAGCGCACTGCCAGCGCACACATGTGCTCTAACAAGTGTGCCCAGTCACCTTCTGCGGCTGCAGCCGGGTTGGAGGGCGGCAGCAGACAAGGTGGAGTAGGCGGTGAGCACCCTGCGCCGCTCTTCTCCAGCTCCCGGCGGTGCGCGCTCTTCAGATGCTTCCACAGTGTGGAGGTTCCCTCCTGGAAGCCAGGGCCATATCCCACCCGTTCTCCGCAGAGCCGGCAGGTGGCCAAGTGGCCTGACGGGTGCCCTGTGCGTACCGGGGCCAAATGAAAGTATCCCCAGGCCTCGGAGTATGACGCCCCCAGCAGGCCAGCAGGCTCCAGGGGCAGACCCGCACACAGGCCACAGGCTGCTTCCGCATAGTCCTGCTTACTGCTTTCTCCCATGGTCACAGCCAGCTCCTCACTCCTCATTCCTTCTACAGTGTCTGCATCCAGAGGGGGAAGAAAGGGAATCATTATCATCATCTACACACAAAACTATGATTGTAGTTAGCCAATAAAGAAACCTTGCCTCCCTTTCATGTGCAAAGGCAATAGTTGTCTGGGTTTCTTTCTCCTTAACAGTGTTAAGTGCTGATGCATCACAAAAACATGTTACAATTGTCCAGCCTTAGGAATTCTCTTTGGAATCCAATGGGTCCCCATGTCCCATGTATTTATACTAATTGTGAGAAACTAAGGTTCTTGAACTGAAAAAAAAAAAAACTAGCTTAAATAAGTGTTGTAGTTTTAAGACTAGTTAACACACACACTATTTTTCTTTTCAGAAAAAGGGTGAGGTTCTTTTATGTATCATTCTCAACAGTGCTGCAGACTAAACTTTAGAAACAAGCAGAAAATAAACTTTGGGAAATGAAAATTTTGTTTTTAAACTTAAACTGTGGAAGTGCCAGTGGTGAACAGCCTTTCTTTTTCCTTCTGGGTATTGGGGGTTGAAAGTGGTGCTCTATCACTGATCTACATCCTCAGCTCTTATTTTTTATTTTGAGACAAGGTCTCACTGAATTGCCCAAACTGGCCTGGAACTTGCAATCTGACCTCAGCTCTGGAATTGCTGGGATTACAGAAATGCCCGGCCCAAACTAGTTATATTCATTTCTCAACCTAACTAAATGGTCCCTCTGTATATTTGCAAGTTCTGAAGCTTTGCACAATACTTGTACCTAAGGAAGAAAAAGAAAACAGTGTGTTGTTTTGTCTAACTAATTATCTGTGTTAAAGGGGTTCAAATGTAAGGTGATAACTATCACTGCAGTGTTTTATATTGTGAAAGCAACTCACTATTACAATAACATATCCAAAAAAGGGTGGAGGAAAGGTGAAGTTTGTTGTTTAGGAATAAGTTGATGAAGATCCAAATGTGTGATTCTGGATAATCTTACTTTGAAAATTTAAAAACAATAAGAGAACATATGACAGATCCCTTAAGCTCTTCTGACAACTTATCTTAATGTCAAGATTAAGGTGGAAGAAGCTGGATCAGTGAACTGTCCAGTGCCTGTGTATACTGTCAGGTTCTAAATCAGCAGCAGTGGAGATGATAAAAGTTCCAGAAATCTTTCTAGTTAAACACAACTGGGAATGACTGAAGACAAAGATGAGAACAGGAAAGATAAGCCACTATAATAATAGCAGTTAGTATAAGCTCTTAATTCAATTGCTAATAATCTTGTCAGAGATGCATTAAAAATTTTTAAACCTAATTTGTTCTTTTACCCACCAAGCAAGTCCACTCATGCCATTTAGCAGCTCTCTCACATTAAAAAAAGATAGTCTATCAGAATCATCATAAAAGACAAATATTTGATCTCTTCTAGCATAAAAAATGGCTATGGATCTTCTGATACACAGGACTTAATTTAAATGTGGTTATTCATGATAAGTAAAAGTTCTTTAGAAATAAAATCCTACATTTCCCTCAAGGGATTTATTAAATTGCTGAAGTCCTGAAAGTAGGAGTAGGTGGGATGAGAGGTTATAGACACCTTCAAGAAAGGTAAAAATTATGGTTGGTAAACAGAACAAGATTTTAGAATTAGAAACATTTTTCTTAATCCTCAAATTTTCTGTGCGTTTTTCCTTTTTAGAATTCCATTTCCTTTTACACTGTGTATAATCTTTCCGTAGTTCTTTGTTTTTTTAAATTAATGGGTATATACAAAAGTGGAGGTACTGTTGCAATGAATTTCTATGGTTTATTTCATAAGTTTTAAAAAAATTAAACTTTTTCAGTAACATCAAGACTACTGTTTTGCATTTTGATATGCTTTCTTGAGGTAGGTGCTGGAAACTGTATGCAACCTGCAGATTCTCTGTGCCAAAGCCTGAGAGTCATCTTTGCTGATATTTCCCCTAAGAGTGCCAGAGGTGACCCATTTCTATCATGCTTTTTACCTCTATACAAGTTGTCTCTTGGTTTCTTGAAAATTCTGGGATACCCGGAGGAGTGTCACCTGTGTGAATGCCATCTGTTATAAGAGTTAAGATGGGCAGAGAGTGAGAAGCACTGATTTTACTGTCATGACCCTGTGGATTTAGTGGAAAGCCTCATCTGAGCCATGGACAAGCAGTACCACAAATGTCGGCCAGCACAGTGCTGCCCCTCCGAAGTTGGCAGAGGGACATCCTCTGCCTGGGCAACCCTTCGCTTTTGGAGGTCTTAACCGGTAGAAAGCAGTATGGTATGAGACTGCCTCACCTTCTCAGTCCTCCACACTGGGCTGCATTCTGGCTCAATATGTTCTTATTTTCAGACTCAGTATCCAAAGAATGACCCACAGTTGACGAACACAGTCATACAGCCTGCCCAGCTCTGCAAGACATCCTTGAGGTCATCTCAACTGATCCTACTTTCAGCCAACTAACTTGGAAGAGAGTGTCTGGGAAACTCCTGAGTCACAACAGAACATGCAGAAAGCTCTCACAAACGGACATGAACAAAACATGCCACCAAATAGAAAAATGGGCAAGAAATAAGAGCAGGCAGATGATCAAAGAATGAACTCAAATGGCCGGGAAACTTGTAAAAACACAACATCTCATATTCAGGGAGATTGTATAAGAATAACAGTAAGATCATTTTGTATCCATCATTCTAACAAAAGTGAAGAGGTTTAACAGCCAAAGCTAGAAGGGAAGCTGAGAAAAGAACATACTCACACATTATTAGTGAAGATATGACAGCTTTGGGGAATGCAATCTGATAATTTCCATATTAATTAAAAATATATAATATCTATTCTGTAAAACTAAAAGCACCAGTATACAAAGTCATATGTGGTAGGGTGTTTATTGAAACCTTATTTAGAATAGCAAAAAAGAAACATGGAAATGCTTAACATCACAGTGGCTGGGCTCATAATATCTGGTCATACCAGGGAATATTATGTACCCATTTAAAAGGAGGGAAGCTCTGCCAGATGTCCTAGAGGAATTTCTGGAGGAACTGTTCAGACAGAAAAGCAAAATGTAGAAAAGTGTGTATAAAATGATCTCATTATTATTAAATAATACATCTGTATAGAAATTATCAACATACAAATGCTCTTCAACTTGAGATGGGGTAACATCCCAATAAATATAAGTTGAAAATATTGTAAGCAGAAAGTGCATTTAATATACTTAGCCCACTCAACATCCTAGTTTAGCAGTGCAGTACACTGTAGAGTATCAGTTGTTACCCTTTGTGATCACATGGCTGACTGGGAGCTGCAGCTGCTTGCTGCTGCCCACATCACATGAGTATTGTACTGCACATTGCTATCCCAGAAAAAGGTCAAGTTCAAAGTATGGTTTCTACAGAATGCACATAACTTTCACACCATTGTAAAGTCGAAAAAATCCTAAGTTGAATCATTGCAAGTTGGGGCCCATCTGTATAAACATATATGAAGAAAAATAAGGAAGGAGACCCTGATTTGATGTGGTGGTAGCTGATATGAAAGGAGGGAAAAGAGGAAGAGGGAGACACAAAAGCAAAAGAAAAAAAGGTACTTATGCAATATGATCATATACATACTTTTAGGCAGTGTGTGTGTGTGTGTGTGTGTGTGTGTATGTAACTATAAAACAATGCTTGGCTCCTCAGGCATATGAGCTCAGGCAAGGTGTTTTAGTTAGCTGTTTTGCCACTGTGACAAAAAAAGCCTCAACAATAACAATTTTAGAGAGGGAAAAATTTACTTGGGGTTTGTGGCTTCAGAGGTCTCAGTCCTCAGATGGCTGGCTCCATTGCTCTGGGCCCAAGATGTGGCAGAAAATTATGGTGGAAGAGTCTGGTAGAGGAATGCAGCTCAGGACATAACTAACAGGAAGCAGAGAGGGACTCTACTCACCAGATACAAAATATATACCCCAAAGGCACACCCCCAATGACCCACCTCCTCCACAAACTACCAGCCTAGAATCACCACCCAGTTAATCTCTATCAGTGGATTAATGCACTGATTAAGTTAAGGCTCTCATAACCCAATCATTTCACTTCTAAATGTTCTAGTATTTCTCACACCTGAGCTTTTGGGGGACACCTCATAATGTAAACCATAGGTAGGCCACCCTTACCTATGGAAGCTGGAGGGGACTTCCCAGTCTCATTGGGAAGCCCATTGCTGGCTTCTTGGAAGATCTACATGCATAGAATGCTGCCATCTATCCTGGAGGAAACCCAGTGTGTGGAGATGCTTAGTGTCAGTGCCCTGCCTAAGCAGAAGGAGATTCTATATCCACAGGAGGTACAGGACACAAGGAGAGAGCAGCACACCTCATTCATTGCCTTGGCACAGGGTAGACACTTGGCCCTATGTAACACAGCTAATTGAGTCTCAATCTCCCCACGTGTCAAGGAAACTGAAAAGATTATCTGCCATTAAACAAGTGGCTAGGTCTTGCATCATGGCTCAGTGGTAGAGCGCTTGCCTCACATGTGTGAGGCACTGGGTTCGATTCTCAGCACTGCATATAAATAAATGAATAAAAAGATCCATCAACAACAAAAAATTTAAAAAACAAGTGACTAAAATCAGATAATGCAAATGATCTCACTGCTGGATTCCTCAGTGTTATATAAATTTAAGGCATGAACAACAAAGAAGCTACCAGTATTTACTGTTTAGACATGTCCACATTGCAATTTTAGTGGCTAAAATCTGTTTTTCTGTTGGACATCCTGTTATTCAATATAGTAATAGTCTAAACTGGAGGATTTCCCTCAGAACTTTCTTAATACAAAAAGCAAATAAAAAAGAATAACAAATCCAAGGCCTTCATTCTCCAAATTTATTTTTACCTCTAAACTGACTTTCATGTAAAATAAGTTGCCCATCGCTTAGGCCAAAGGAGATAATGGGAAGGGTTTAGTTAGCTGAACCCTGTGATATGTACTTGTCCCTTTCCAAGTACTCAATAACAAAACATGGGCATTTTTTGTGTGATTAGCTAATAATGGAAAATAAGAGCTCCCTTAATATTTCCTTAAACATTTTTTAAACAACTACGAAGGTGCCAACAAATGTTATTACTTTGCTTACATTCATTCATTCCACCCAGCTCTGTTCAAATGCTCACTGTGCACCTGCCCAGGGTCAAATGCGCGTGCCTGCCGCTGAGCATTTCAACAACACCATGTATTCTCTGCCTTCAGGAAGCTCACCACCTGTTGGGGAAAGAAACGTTTCCAACAATAATTCTGATATCCTGATAAAGATCAGATCAGTATTCACTCATTAGGATGAATTCCATCATACCATGTTCACAAAGCAGAAGGGGAAGGCAAGGGGCAGCTCCTTGGCACCGAGGCCTTGTTGTCTCTCATACTAACCTTGATAATGCTCAGCATCTCTTCTCTGCCCTTCCCCACTGGGTATAAAATTCACTGTGTTATCTACCACCAAAGCCCAGTTCCAACAAAACCCATTACTGTTATTACCATTAGTGATTGATGCCAATAAAATTTCAATGCTTTAGTGTATAACTAAAGAATAAAATATCTTGAAGCTACATAAAAGTACTGCCAGCATGAAACTAATTCAACAATGGAAACTTTTGTGTCTTCAATGGGGGGAATCCTCATGATACAAATGTAGATTTTAGATCTTTTCTGGAAAGGGAGAGGGTGTTATTATTGGTACCATGCCTCTAAAACACTCCTATGCTGAATTTTATTTTGTGCATTCATCATCTGGAAGATATGATGTCTAAGACTGTGAAAATAAAAAAATTCACACTAATATCTCTGCATTTGAGTCTGATCCTGAAGAAGTTCTATTCTAATAATCTATCAGGTTAAAGCTTGAGAGCCTCAGTATGATCTCCCTGAATACCAATGTAGAGAATGAAAGAAGAGCTCAATTTTGTAAATATTATATAAATATTATTATAAATCAAACAGATATTTCTGTCATTAGCTAAAAGGCAGAGACTCTCAAGGTCTTTGTTTTTCAGTTCTGGTGATTGAACCCAGGGTCTTCTATCACTAAACTACACATACCCCCGCCCCTTATTAATGCATTTTAAAAAATATAAATTGTAAAGCATTCTTTTCTTAAGAAGACATTTATCTCAGACCCACATTGCTTTAATATGTGTAGTCATCCTATGAACTACCTATGAAAGCTAATTTTATTTTATATATTTATGCTTATACCCATAAAAAATATTAAGCATGCTAAAGACCAAAGAACCAAATAATGTTCTCAAAAGAACAACTGAATTACAGCTCCATTTGTCCTTCTGCAGTCATGGCTAATCACTTTAGTTGGATTAGTCAGGGAGAAACAGAAATATATGTTGGTTGAGCCCTGGATTAGGTGAGAAGTCCACACTAATGTGAAATTTATACAGACTGTGTGAAAACACTAAGAAAGATTTTCATTTATTCCATCCACCAGTGACAAACCAAAGCAGAACACAATAAGTAAAAGAAATAATTGGCTTTGGCCACTGAAATGTCAGGAAATCACAGTTCATTGTTATCTGTCCATCTCTGTTGACCTATTAGGTTGCTGCCATGTATTCATCTATCTATAAACAAATCCAGACAATTAGAAAAATTAGTTTACAATTATGAGGCTTACAGCTTTCAAAAGCAAGTAAAATTAACTCTAAACTGTAAAATGTGAATACCTAGGTTGGGGAATAAAGAGTCAAGTGTAAAAACATTTAGAAAAAGGTTATTTGTGGATTGAAAAAATTTACTGGACCCACAGCTAATTATCTGGTGAATCAGAGATGTGCCCTAAATGTCATAAGCCAAATTCTTAGATCTTTCTACCATTAGCTAAAAGGCAGTAGAGCACTCTCTATTAATGCATTTTTTAAAATGAAAATTGTAAAACATTCTGCTATAAAGTGGACCTTTATTTCAGATCTGCATTACTTTATTTCATACATAAGGTTCTAAAAGGAAAGGTGGCCATTCATATTATCTTGTAGAAATGCATAATTTAATATGAATTAGAGGGATTTA